CATCGTGAGTGGCGTGGCACCTGGTGACTACTTCGCTAAGAGGCTCCCAGCAGCTTATGGTATTTGCATGTCTGGAGGTGCACTTGGACTTCTTACTGTTGCCCCATTAACAGTGTTTCTCTTAGACTTGTACAGTCTTTCTGGAACGCTGCTCATTTTGGGTGCCATTGGATTTAATGTTTGCCTAGCTGGAACTCTTATTAGACCATCTTCTGAATTGGCGGACCAGAAACCAGTCTCAGTTGGCCTTGGTACAAACGACCTTGACCGAGAATGTACAGAAGAAGATCTAACTGACCTTCACATCGTGGAGAACAATGATACGTGCAGGAGTTCCGACAGCCAGCACGATGACGTCGATTGTTCTCTTTCTGCTGATACATACAATGTTCCTGGTAGTTTGACGGAAGACAATTCAGTGTCAACCATTACAACTGTTGCACCTCTACTAGACCACCAAACACGTTTTTCAAACACACGATGTTGTTGTACTATGAAGGCCAATGTAGTTTTCTTTGGCAAAAGCGGATTCTTCTTCTACCTCACTAGCGCCTTTTTCTGGTCCCTTGGACAAGCTATCTGCATGGTTCATTTGCCATATTATGCTGAATTGAAAGGTAGCACGCCGGCACAGTCTTCAAGTCTGTTCACCGGAATGGGCATTACCGCCTTCTTGACGGGAATCCTGACAGGCTTTGCCTCCTCTGACCCAGCTATCGGGGCCATCACTGATGGTACTCCCCCTGCTCTCCCATACGTACTGCCTTCAAATGATATTCAGTGTATTATTTGGTGCCTATAGCCAGGGACGTTAGTCAGCCCTATATGCATCCAAGTGATAGGCCGATCCAAACTTGCCCTTGGCTATGGCGTATGGTCATTTGTCTTGGGAACTGGCTACATGGTTGGACCACCCATTGGAAGTAGGTAAACCCTGAATATGTATTGCCTTGTATCTGTTTCATAGTGTGCTTGAGATAATGACTTATGTCATGACCACAGCTGCCTATAAACTCAGATTCATTCTTGATGTGAACCGTGCCTGACACTGTGAGGGTCGGTAGGCTTTCCTAGCGTTATAAACACCCAGACATCATAGCTTTTGGTCTTTTCTTCTATTTAGTATGTATCCATTCTATATTACTTACCCAGTGTTCATGGAGATTTTCCTTTTGTATCAAAGTGTACACGTATGTTTATAACCTACTATTTAGTTCCCATTCTCTGTTATTTATCTGACGTTTGTGGAGATTGGTTCCTTTTAAGTATACACTCTCTCAAAAAGAAACGCAACCCCTGTTTTTTGGTAATGTTTATATCAATTTTAACTGGTTATTACATTTGTATTTTTAAAGATAATGCCATGAAATTTGACATGGTGAACCTTAGGTCAGCACGGTATAAGGTAACAGTTAATGCAGGTCAGTATCGAACTCTCAATTTACGCTAGGGGCGTTGTCTTCAGTATCTCGTTGTAGAGCCACGAGCTCTAATCACAGCAGTGCACCTCCTCGGAACAGAACGAATCAGACGGCGGATGTTTTCCTGGGGATTGCTCTCCACTCTTCCTGGAGTGCTGCGGCCAGTTCAACCAACGTGTGCGGTTGTGGTGTACGTGCACGAACACGACGATCCAGCTGGTCCCACAGATGTTCGATAGGATTGATGTCTGGCGATCTGGAGGGCCACGGCATCACGTTGACGTTTGAATTCTGTAGGAATGCCACTGTTGCACGAGCTGTATGAGGGCGGGCATTGTCATGTTGAAACAACTCCCTCTGTTGGTCGATTATCGGCAGAAGATGTGGCTGTAAGACGTCATCAATGTACCGTTGTGCCGTCAAATTGCCACGAATGATGACCAAGTCTGACCGTTGGTTGTAAGACATGGCTCCCCATACCATGATGCTTCCTCCTCCAAATCTGTCGACCTGTCGAACGCAGTTCGGTGCAAAACGTTCATTTGCTCGTCTATAGACACGTTGTCTACCGTCACGTCGTTGAAGAAGAAAACGAGACTCGTCACTAAACCAGACTCTTCTCCAGTTTCTGAGGGTCCATCTCCTTACGTTAGTACACCACCTGAGACGTTGGCGTCGATGTTGGCGTTTCAAGACGGGCCCAACAACTGGTCTTCTTGCACGTAAATTTGCCTCATGTAAACGGTTCCTGATGGTTTGGGCCGATACTCTCCTCAAACCTGGCACCTGTGTTGCAGTGATGGTGGGTGTGGCATGCCGATTACGTAGGTGGCTGAGTCGAATAAAGCGATCCTGAGCCGGTGTGGTGATCCTAGGTCTACCGCTCCTGGGACGATCTTCAATTGCATGGAACTGTGTGTAACGATTCCAAAGTCGTGAGATTGTTGTTTTGTGTACGTTTAGATGACGGGCAACTGTTCCAAAGCTTTCCCCGGCCTCAATGCGACCAATGGCAATATTTCGATTTGCTGTACTCAAACGGGGCATTTTCGAACTTGATTTGCAGAGCAAATTATGAGAGAAAAATTACAAAACTACGCGTGCTTTTAAAACCCTCTACATGAACTGTGTTTTCAACGATTTGCACGTGCAACAGGCTTTTAGCATTTTGTACATGACAATTTCGCACTTTCTCAAATAACACGGATACAAAGGTCATCATGTGTGAAAATGGTTCCGTTTGGGAGCTTATACTGATCAGATGGGAACGTATTAACAGTATTTTGAAGAAAATTCTAATTTACATTCACCATCTTTATTCTAGAAATGATGTCAGATATTTAGATAGGGTTGCGTTTCTTTTTTGAGAGAGGTTTTTTTGTATTATTTGAGTGATTGAGTCAGTGAGTGAGTTTAGTTTTACGCCGCACTCAGCAATATTCCACCTATATGGCGGCGGTCTGTAAATAATGGAGTCTGGACCAGACAATCCAGTGATCAACAGCATGAGAATCAATCTGCGCAATTGAGAACAGATGACATGTGTCAACCAAGTCAGCGAGCCAGACCACTCGATCCCGTTAGTCGCCTCTGACGACAAGCATGAGTTGCTGAAGATCAATTGTTACCCTGATCTTCATGTGTGTGACGAGGGTTTCTGTAATAGCCGCTTAATGCATCCCGTTCCACGCATTTACACATCGTTACAACGAATAATGGAAACAAGTGGGACGTTTCATCTGTTCCACACTTGGTACAAAATGCATAAAAATCCAATTGTGCAATAAGTTGAGCACTACTTCAGCAGTGAGTGAGTATGGTTTTATTCTGCTTTAAGCAATATTCCAGAAGCAATTTACGTCAGAAACGGGCTCACAGACTGTACCCATGAGGGGAATCGAACCTGTAAAGCTTTAACCAGGTCTCTACCTTGGAATCGTACAGCGATGGAATTGATTGTTGACTCTATGTACTAGTCTAAACTGTCTGGAATTGATTGGTGACTAAACTGCTAGTCTAAACTGTCTGGAATTGATTGTTGACTAAACTGCTAGTCTAAACTGTCTGGAATTGATTGTTGACTCTATGTACTAGTCTAAACTGTCTGGAATTGATTGTTGACTCTATGTACTAGTCTAAACTGTGTTGACTCTATGTACTAGTCTAAACTGTCTGGAATTGATTGTTGACTAAACTGCTGGTCTAAACTTCTGTCTGACGATCCTTGTCCCGTGTCGCAGTTCGGACACATTGCGAATTGTGATGGCTATTCGGCGCATGATGTCACGTTTATTTTTTTTCTTTCAGGATGCTGCAACCTCGCCAGTGCCTTCTTTGCCACGTGTATCCCTGTGTGCAAGAAGACAGCATAGATACATGCCCACTGTATCATTATCATTATATCCTACAATTAAGAAAATGTTGTGTTTAAAACCTGGATGTAAATTCATATAATCATGTCTGTCTGTCTGTCTGTCTGTCTGTCTGTCTGTCTGTCTGTCTGTCTGTCTGTCTGTCTGTCTGTCTGTATGTATGTACAGGAGGGAAGATATGGATATAAAAGCGTCAAAACCCGTTCCACATCCATGAGAAATCTCTGGTAAAAGCCTGCATCACAAGCATGTGTTTATGAATCTCTGTGACATAGTGCGTGGGTGAGTATGGTTATGGTGTAGCAATATCACGGAGGGGGATACCAGAAATGGGCTTCACACATTATACTCATGTAGGGAATCGAACCTACGTCTTCGGCGTGACAAGCGAACGCTTTAACCACTGGGCTACCCCACCGCCCCTATAACATAGTGATGGTACCAGAAGTTGGCGAGAAAGTGCATCTATCCTACCCCGTCCGGGGCACCGTTAGGACCCGTTATTTAGGAACCAGCTGAGTTGAAGATGATTGTGGCAAAATCATCACGTTTTGAGTTTTGACTGTACATTAGACATCGTCGCATTCAATTAAAGGAAGATCTGATAGGCAAGGATATATATTTCGCTAAATAGAGACACCTTTTGCATTTGTGTGTAAATTGGCGCGCGAGAGACGCATTGTTTTAAACACATACTGGCACGGACAGTATTTCAGATGCACGTGTTACTGAAAATGAGACTATCAAACTATTAAGCTCATAAACACGTCTCTCGTAGCGAATGTTGTCAATCACTGGATTGTCTGGTCTGATATGGTTAAAAGTGTGCAATCGACTCTTCTTTTAGCAGATTTCTGTATGTTGAAAGGGTTTTGTGTTTCTATTATTTCTACGACTGTTCATGTTCACTTATACAGTCATGATATACCTAGGTAAATGCAGTTCTTCAGACGGTTAACCAACAGTAGGTCTGCAGTGTTCACGGTCGCCGGAACACGTTGACAAGGACGAGTTGACGGGGCAGACTGTGACCAAAATAAAAAAACCCCCTGATATTCCACATCTACTGAGAACTGCGTTAAATGCATTTATAAAAGGTATATTGCATTCAGTATTTTTCTATTTGTCAAAGTAAGGTGAGGAGAAATGGGGTTTAACGTCGTGCTTGAGAATATTTCGCTCATATGACGACGTGCATGCGTGTGTATGTGTGGCTACTTGTACTTGCCCAGACTAAAGCTGGTTTTATAGTGCTAGCTCACTGAGATACCATGCAGCAGGTAGGCATGGAGACACATTATAGAAGAAAGAGAAGGAAGAAGAAAATACTTTATTAACGTGTAACTTGGTATACAATTGACATGTTAAAATCACATAAAATACACAGTAAAAAATGCTGACCACCCGGTAACAACTTTAAAACCACATACAAATGTGAAAATTATTACGACAAGACTAAAACGTTAAAATATAATATACATTACGATAATCAGTGTCTTGGACTAAAACGCGTGTTTTCGTCTATTATACATTTGTGATATTAATGCGGCAAGAGGCTTCACAAATCTTCCATTACGTAATAAGAATATAGACTGATTCTTTGAAGACATTTGTGAAAATAGAGGGTTAATACGGGAGATATCATGCCATAAATTGTATCTGATATCAGAATAAAAGTCGCACTTGGCGAGAAAGTGTAACTCATCTTCAACAGATTTGCTGCAACAAAATTTACAGATCCTGTCTTGTAAAGGCATTTCGGGTGGGAATACCTGCCTAGTTCTATCTCAAGAGGCAAAGTACCATAGCGTAGCTAACTCAGTACACTACGTTGGGATCTTGTTAACAGTGAGGTGACATACTGTTCTGGCTTTAATAGTTTCTTAAATAACCGATAAGTTCGTCGTTTATTTCACTTTACGTTGACCCCGGTCGTTATACAGATCGTTGTACCATGATTGACTATCAAGAGACTTAGTCCAGACTTTCATATGATAAAATCAGCTCTTGAGATATCATGGAGATCGAATGGTAAATTCAGATTATCAATAAATTTAAAAACAGTACTATTCCAGGACTTTGGGTACTGATTTGACCATCTAAAGATCAGACTTGGTAATCTGGTTTATTCCATTTTTTTTAGCTTACTCAAGAATGATAAAATGCCAATCTTTTGGTTTGTAAAAGGCAGTGCCCAACCCATCTCTCCACGGACGGAGTGGAGTGGGGTTTTACTTCCTACACCTAAAAGAATCTACATGCCCGATTCTGGACAGAATTGATACAACCTAACTGCCTGGTATCCCATATTGCCGCACCACATGATAGGATGGGTTGAACTAAGATTCTGTATAGGGTGATATAAACATCACAAGGAAAGCCACTAACAGCTTTAAATTTACTGATATTAGTACCAAGTGCACGACTTGCAGATTCAGCGATTTCTCACCCACTCACCCACCCACTTACTCACTCAGGCTGATTCTCGTGTAAGACAGCAAGCAGCTTTATACATCCAGTCTTCAGCCTGAACCAACAGCGACTGACGGCTGACTATCAGGCACCCTCTCAAGACAACAGCTACCGTCCGTTTGACTCACTCACCCACTCACTCACTCACCGGTCTGTCGATTTCATGTGACTGTGCAAAATTTAGTTTTGTGGCAATTATTAGATTTTGTGTTAGTGAGCAAATCTTCGGTCTCAAATGAAACCAAACGGACTTTAGCTTTGATAACACGATGACATAGCTTGCAGTAGTGTCACACGTAGCTATAGGTAATGTGTACACTGCTCCGTAGAAGCAAACACTGTCATATCACATCACGTCCTCCAACCCGGCTCCTTGACACACTTCACAACCGTCCACGTTTGTCGTAGAACGATATATCCGGGCAATCTAGGGGTCAATGGAGTGGATATCCCGTGAGAGGTAGGCTACAATATATATGCTTACCCTTTTCCCTATCTTTGGTTGTTTTCGTGGGTAGTTTGATCGGTGAACCGTGTATTTGTCATTAGGAGAGGCAAAGGAGCGTGTGTACATTCAAGGTAGTGCCTCAGCTCTGAATGTCCGGGTTAGAATTGATCTTCAGCAACCCATGTTTGTCATGTGACTAATGGGATCGGGTGGTCAGACTCGCTGGCTTGGTCGACATGTCATCGTATACTAGCGGTCTGTACATAATCAGTCTGGACTAGAAAATCCAGCGATCAGCAGCATGCGCATCGATCTACACAACTGGGAACCGATGACTTGTGTCGACCTAGTCAGCGAGCGTGACCACCCGATCCCGTTAGTCGACTCTTACAACAAGCATGGATTGCTGAGGACCAATTCTAGCCCTGATCTGCACGGGTTAATTCCATGTACAATTTATGAAACACAAATCTACATGGACATTGTTTAGAATTGAGTTCATTATACATGGCGATATCGGGAATTATAGGCTATTTATTTTTTTAACCTACATTTTATGTTTGCCAATCACAAATTGCACTTCAGGCAAATATTGGCTATCAGTTTGATGTTGTTACTACTGTGTCCTGTATGTATACGTTTTGGAAAATTTGAGTGATGAATATTCCGAATAAATGTGAGAAATGCTTTTTTGACAATATTCATTTCAACCAGCTATTTGTGGAAAAACAATTAACAGCATTCAGTTAGTCGGTCATGTTTATACAAAACAGAATCTACATATACATCATCATAAAGGTGTCAACATTTGCTTGGAAGCATTCCATTGATGGTAGCCTGTCGAGCAGAATTCTCTGCAAGGGAGATGCATAGATGCTTTCATGAAATTGAAAAGCTTGGAGCAATAACATTTCAATATGATATTGTGAATGATAGTGACAATGATTATGATTGTCACAGAAGATTGGGTTCATCATCTGTGTCACTTCCAGTGTCTGGTGTTACACAAACACATCCCTCTGGTAGGTATATTTTAATAGCAGGAATAGAACCTATCAGAGCTTCTAGTTTCTATGCTTTCATCCTTTCAAGATATGTACGAAAAAATATAGCCCTGATTAATTTCTGATTTGTGCTGATGTATATTGACAACTCTTCATAACACTATTGAGTGAGTGAGGTTAGTTGTACACCGCTTTTAGCAATATGACAGCAATGTAACGAGGGGACACCAGAAATGGCTCCCCACATTTTATTCGGGTCTTCGGCATGACGAGCGAATGCCTTAACTGCTAGGCTACCCCACCGCCCCATATATTTTATTACACATTAATTAAATACGATTCCTGTGCATGAGGTTATTGGACATATAAGCATTCATTTAACTGTTTGTATTTAATTTCCAGTGCTACTATTCAAATTGATCTTGTTTCAGGGAAAGGAAAGATTGTACAACCAGAAGAGGGGAACCAGGATGTACTGCAAGACATTTTGCAAATAGATTGGAGGAGGCTACAATTAGAAGCAGAAAAGATTCATGCAGATAAATATTTGTTATTGATATCGACTGATCGCCTTTGTCCAACTACATACAGGTATGTACAGCCTATGCCATGTACAGCCAGTTAATGCATAGATTCTCATCAAATGATTCTATTGAGCTGAATGAAAATGTTTTCTTTGCAATTTTAACCATAAACATTAGTTACCTTAAGCTGGTTTCATAGATTCAATACTATATTCAACGTCAATATCATGAAAACAGTTATATATTATACGATCTTGGCTCTCTGTAATATATATCTCCAACAGTAACAACAACAAAACAGTGGTCGTGGTATGGTGTGGAAAGGTTATCAATCCCACAGAAAACTGTTAAACCGATCACTTTGCATATTATGACTGCAGAGAACAACAGTATGTCAATACACTTTCCTGTATCTGATGCATTTATTAAATCAATCCCCTAAAGAGAATCGACTGACTGACAGTAAAATATGGCTCCTGTTTCAGAGAATAGTATGTGGATTAAGCGCAGAATATTGCGCAAGTCTACAAATAGTATACAAGGTGTGCTGCCGGGTAGAGAAGGCGACAGTTCGGTAGCTGTCGATAATAAATTATTATGCAGGGTCATATCTCGCTGGCGGGCACCTGACTGAATACTGCTTGTTCAAGGTAGTGTTGGTTTTAATTTTAATTTAACAAAGCAGTGTATTACCCTTCCCGTTACTAAACATGAAAATATATGATTCCAGCGTCAAACATGTCCCTTAAAATCAAATCAAGAGAACCGACTGACTGACAGTAAAATAAGGCTCCTATTTCAGAGGTATGTGGATTTAAGCGCAGAATATTGCGCAAGTCTACAAATTCTATAGGGTTACACTGTCGGTGCAAGGTGTGCATCCAGGTAGCGAAGGCGACGGTTCAGCGGCTGACGATAATAAGTGATTATGTAGGGATATATCTCGCTGGCGGACACCTGGATGAATACTGCTTGTTCAAGGTAGTGATGCTTTATATTTAAATTTAACAAGCAATGTATTACCCTTCCCGTTACTAAACGTGAAAATATGTGATTCCAGCGTCAAATATGTCACTTGGCTGACAATGAAAACAATGTGATAGCACGATGTTAATGATGTGGTCACCATGGACGATATTTGTCTGCTTCCGAGATTGAACACTGCGTCACGGCTGGCTGGCCGGCCGGCGGGTGTTCAATAGATAAACAAAGCTTTCATATAACGAGGTCATTGTATTTGAAATGTATTTTGATAATATCATGTGCTCGATGATCAAACTCAAATCAAGGTTAGATTTTAAAATTGTAATTAGGTATATAAATCAGAAATCTGCAAATGTTGAAGGGAACGGTTTTGGGTGAGATGTGTTTTTATTCAAAGAAGTTCCGCAATATTTCACCACAATAGATATTTGACAGATATTATGAATGATTTATACTGAGACGAACAAGCACAACTACAATTTATTGTCGTAAAGGCTAAAGGCCCATAGCACATGAAGTTTGCGATCCATTATGCACTTTTCGTCCAGCATTTTGAATGCATAATTTAAAAGAAAGAAAAAATACAATTAGTTGTGATTGAGGTTATTACACAGAGGATCAGTGCGTAACATATGATGCAATTTTGTTGAAGTAACTGATACCGTTTGTCATTATATACAAACATGATATTCATATAGGCACGTTATATCGTTTACATAAACACCTTTAGTAAATAATCCCATCAATACCCTTTGTACCTTCTGTTTACCTACATGTTTATAACCACTTTGAATTTAGGGATAAAACCATAAGGTTTTTATCTGAAGTAGATATTCAATATCCAAGAGTGAACTGAAGGTACTAGACATGATTAATATATAACAACAAGACACAGCTTCCCTTTTCACTGTTCCACAATCTTTAGATCGCTGCTGAAAGGCCTATGGAAACACAGCATTACCACCGAAATCTTGATCTATCCAAACATAACCTAAAGCCTATTGATAAACTTTCAACATGGCTTACCCTATCTGGCCTGGTTCCCGAGTATAAGTTGTTATAGGTCCGTATTGGATGAACAACATCTTTATTCAAATAAGTCAACATGTACAAGTATGATTAAACTGTCTATACGGAAAATATTTATAGTACATTATTTATACTACATTATTTATAGTACATTACTTGGAGTGTTTAGAATTGATTATGTTAAGTCAATCAAGTACTTTTTCTAGTGATGACAATAACAATCTATGTCAGTTATTCAAATGGAGACAAGAATATCGCGAGCACCCTCCTACCAATTGGGATCAGTACTCTATAGTGACTGCGGATGCTGATGAATCTAAGGGGTGTTCTAACCAAGTTGTAAAAGCGTTCGCTCGATGACGTGGGTACGATTCCCCAGAGGAGTGCAATGTGCGAAGCCCGCTTTTGGTGTCCTTACACACCGAGATGTTACTGGAATATTGCTAAAGGTGGCGTAAAACAACACCCATTCTCATATGCCCAAATGGGAGGAATGACCTGTTGAAATATCCTTGTGTGGCTTAAGGCATCATGTTCGCATTTGACAGTGAGATGATTTAGATTAAATAAGTGAATATTATTATTAATATGCATTTACCTGACTTTCACCTTCTTGATTAATTGTAGTGGGTTGTGTTTCAGCTTCGGCCACTATGAATTACAAGTACAAAATATGTTTCGTCACATGCCTGGTGACATCTCTTGCTGCTGTAGCTTTCTACTTGACAAGTACTCGATTACTGGGTGTGCTTACATTGCAAACGTCCAGTTCAACAACACTGAAGACAAGACAACAACTGTCCCTCCTCGAAGTGTCTCTCAAGCATCCCCTCGTGCTTCATAGACGGAGTGTGAACATTACTTCAGCAGGTTACGAAACGCGGAAACGTATTGTGTGGATGAACGTCCCATCTTGGTACAAAACTGTAAAGTCCTTTGACCACTGTTACCTTCGTTCGTGTGAAATAAGTACGAACGAGGCACACATTTCATCTGCTGATGCTGTGATTGTCAATGGCGTTAATCTGCCTTCATCAAAACACCCAAACACCAACATGAACCAGGTGTGGATTATGTATGGGTGGGAAGCACCTCTTCACTATCATTCAAACACGATTTTCCGTTCTGACTGGAATGGACGTTTTAACTGGACATTGACGTACCGCCTGGATTCGGATATACCCTTTCCCTACAATAGGATCTTGTATACAGGAGGCACTGTGAATATAAGTGATGTTCTGAGACGAAAAAGTAGATCAATAGCTTGGTTTGTTAGTAACTGTGGTACACCGTCAAAGAGGGAAGTGTATGTGACGGAACTGCAAAAATATATTGATGTTGACATCTATGGTGCCTGCAGACATAACAAGAGTTTTGACTGCCCCAAGGAAAGGTCATTCGAGTGTCTTGGCCTGTTAAACACAACCTATAGGTTTTACCTTTCGTTTGAAAATTCCCTTTGTAAAGACTATATCACAGAAAAGTTCTACAACACGTTCATGACTTCAGCTATTCCCATCGTTCGTGGAGGCGCTAATTATACACATCTTCTGCCAAAAGGAACCTTCATCAACACAGCATCATTTGACAGTCCCAAGAGTTTGGCAAATTATATCAAATCTTTGGAGAGAAACGAGACAGCTATGGGTCATATTCTGCAAAAGAAGCACAAGTATGCATACATTAATTCAGAAAGTACGGACTTCGATTGGAGATGTCAGCTGTGTGCCAAGTTACATGGTAATATTACAAGAACGCATTACACAGATATGAAAGAGTGGTTAAAGACTGGGAAATGCCAAGAACAGCCAACAGATCTGCCGTAATGTTAGAAACCTGTCCTAATCGTTAGATATCATAACGGGAAATGCAAAAGAAAGGTTTTTGTTCCCAGTTACATCTTGGAACACACTAGTTACAGTGAGCGAGTGGATGAGTGTACACGTGTTAACAATATTCCAGCAATATAAGGGCGGGGACAACAGAAATAGGCTTCAGGCATTGTACCCATGTGGGGAGTTGAACTTGGGTCTTCTGACGCGCAATCGCTTGAACCACAAGGCTTCACGAAACCAAATGACACGCCCTCTCCATACACGCTCTCATCTACACACGGAGATAAGAGTCTTTTATGCCACCCTCACTACACATAATGAATGAATGAATGAATAGGACAAACTATTACATCAGTGCCAAGCACCATTTGAGGATTTGAACAATTAATTTACGACGATAATACCAGCTGTATTCATATGTGAATAAAGCAATACATTTCTCAGTTGAAGATAATGCGACAAACATTCATTCACAGCACTCCTAACGTCACAGCGCGAACCATCATAAATGTACCAATCAGTTAATGGTGGACCTTGGTCTCGACTGAGTTAAAACAAAAAGATGAAGTTCTATCCTGGAAGGAGTGAATGAGTGAGTTGGGTTTTACGCCGCTTGTAGCAATATTCCAGCAATATCACGGTGGGAGACACCAGAAATGGACTTCACACATTGTGCCCATGTGGAGAATCGAACCCGGGTCTTCGGCGTGACGAGCGAACGCTTTAACCACCAGACTACCCCACCGCCCCCTATCCTGGAAGAAACAAGGGGACAAATGAACCTCATTTTTCAGTGTTAATGGGGAGACTGCCACTGTGTTAGAAGTGCCAGGTATTGTCTAGTCTTCCTATGGATAACATTTGTCAAGACATACAGATCTGGCGCTAGATAGATCAATCTATGGGTCCTTTACATCATTCAATAGCTGAGAAAACAGGCACTTTCAACTATAACCATTTCTGCTTCAGGATTGAGAACTGACTAAGTGTCATCGACTGGACATAGATCCCATCCGGGGCTATTAGGTGCCTGGCTCTGAGGGTGTAGGTTCGAATACCGCATGGGACTCAGCCTAACAAAAGTACTAGAATCTGTACTTTATTCAGAAAGTGTAATGCCAAATATGGCATGTGTTACATTTGACCACTTTCTAATTGGCATTGTGTATTCAAAGCTTCCGCCGTTGGAGCTGTGCCAATTTACACATATCAGAGGGGTACACAAAGTCGGTGGTCAAGACTACCAGTTATCCGACTCCCATCGTTGTGGAAGCCGTGGTGGCTGAATGGGTTAGACGGCAGACTTTGTGTGCTGGCGATGAGGTGCCTGATTCTGAGGGTGTGGGTTCGAATTCCGGATGGGGCTCACACAAGCCAACCAAAGTACTAGAATCTGTACTTTACTGAGAAAGTGTAATCCCAAATATAACATGTGTTACACACTAACACAAGTTTGTATCACATGGGAAATAACTTGTACAGGAGCCAAGAGAGAAAAGAGTACATGGGGGCCGTGGGATTCAGGATGACCGAGGTCAGGATCAGACACCAGGGATCCAATCAGAACCACCTGCCATATCCATTGTAGGGGACATTGACCCTGGAGGTGTGGCCAGGGCCCAGCGTGAGACAGTGATTGTACGACGTTTCACGAGGATATCACTGACTGACAGGACCACACTACTGGAGATTTTTACCGTTTTGTTAAATTTCTTGCAAAAGTTAAGAGAGTGTCTTTTTAAAATATGTGGAGTCTCACAGAAAATTTAAAGTTCGACTCACAGAAAATGAAGTTATGATTTATATTTAGAAAGTGATTTTACAGATGATCAAATTATATATCAGAAAAGATGCCGCTCCTGGACAGATTAATCTCTTTAACAAGAACTGAAAATTAATTAATCTCATTACCGTGTTACTTCTCATGTAGGCACGCAACCTCCTCGTGGTGGGTGCTGGGTAACGCTAATAGCTCTTCAACTCCCTGTGTGGACCCGGGGGCATATTGGTCCACGGCACCCCATTGCTGGTTGTAAGACCGAATTGGGCAACCTGTTTGCCGTGGGTCGTGCCCCTGTGGCGATGGAGGACGGTAGTCTGGTGCTTGAGGGCATTGGTTCCAGGAACAGCGTTCCTTTGCCCAACACACCACTTTGACTTTTTAAAATATGTGGACTTCACCTAGACGGGTGGTAGAATGGGCACGATTCTATCAATCGGCTGGTCGCGCTGTGCCCTGTGCAAAGAAATTATTTTTGCACATTTAAATTATTGAGTATTAGTTATCCCGTTAGTCGCCTCTTACGACAAGCATGGGTTACAGAAGGTTCATTCTAACCCCGACCTTTACGGGTCCCCTTATGATGAAAGAATCGTGTCCTGCTTGACTATATCACAAGGGATACATATTTCAATGTCAAAACAGTGAAGGATCTTTTTAATGTTAATTATAATTTAGTTATTGAGTTTTTAAAGAAATATAATTGTTACACCAATTTTCATATGCTTTGTAATAGAATTATGTTTTATAATTGGCAGTTTAGATTACTAGTATCAGCTGATATTGTTCAGGGCTGTATCCTCAAAGGGGGTTACAGTACTGTAAAAAGATTGTCCTCTAGACAGGGTACGTAAGTCCTAAAGCTTTCAAAGTAATGTGACAGTGCACAATTTATCATTATATTCTTCATATTTGTATATTTTTCTGAATGTATGTATTGTATATATATTTGCCACAAATTTCACTTTCATTTTGAAGAGTTGTAATATTGAAACGTCACTTCATGTCATGGCTCCAGCTGATGTAACGCACTTCGCAAAGATAATTAACATAAGCCATATACCATTGAAAGTGTCAACTTAAAACTTAATCCATTGTTTATTGCACCAGTAAATGTCTTAATGACCACCGTGCAGATGTCCAGGCGAACAACTGTAGAAACAAACTGCAATAAATCTGACCTAATTGACGCCAATTACTATTGTGACACGGTCATGTGGCGCCAGCTATAAAAACTAATCCCGACAAGGGTTGTAAAACAAACCGTAATTAAACTGATGCAATTATCCTGTCACGGTCACGTGACTACCCTTCCAAAACCCGTTTCGGCTTGTCCAATCAGTAACTGTTTGATCTATGTCAACCAACCAAAATCGTAATTACCGTATTATATGTTTTGGCCAATCGCAAAGAATTCCAACATTGATCAGTGATGTTTTCGGCTATAAAAAGAGGTCAGTGATTTCCGATCGGCACACTTGACCTCACAATAAATGATGAAACATCTCCTTGACTGATCATTAACTTACGGAATTCTACATTCTATTTTAAGGTAAGTTCTTTGGTACAACTCTACGAATTCTGTCAGATAATGTCATGACTGGAATATATTTTTATGTATATGTTTATAGTGGCAATATCATGTGTATGTTTATTTTGCATGGACATTGACATGCATATATCTCAGTCGTTAATTGAATATGTAAGTGAACTAGATGTGCTGTCATGGATTAGTTGTGCCTGTATTGGACTCATGTATGGACACATTAGATGTACTTTACATCACTAATATGCTAATAGTGAACAAATTGGTTCAGTGGCATATATCATTTATATATGTTTTATATGACGACAGCTGAGGTATAATTGTGATTTGTGTTAAAATGATTTGTATGAATGATTTTGTATTATGATTATTATATGAAGTTAGGTTGAAAGAAGAAATATTATATCTGTTATACACACAAGCTCTACCGTTTGAGATGCTAATTCCCCATCAAAATGTGTATATTAGATTATTGTTTGAATATCTTTTATGCATATGTATTTATGAATAACACACTTGACCTCACAATAAATGATGAAACATCTCCTTGACTGATCATTGACTTACGGAATTCTACATTCTATTTTAAGGATTTAAACTTGTTATCCCATAACGAGCCGGGTAACAAATGGTGGAAAAAGGGTTTCCCTAAAAACCTCTCACATGCCAAAACAGAAAGGAACAACGCCGTCCTTCAATGCCTACAGACTCCGGAGCAGCTCCCAAGTAGAACAAGGTCAAGTCAGGCCCAGTACTCCCCCACCAGCTGTTCCACAACCTCGACCCTGAGAGCCAACGGCAACCATCAGACCCACGACTCCCCCGCCAGCTGTTCCCCAAGTTTCACCCACAATGGCCTTCAAGATCAAACACCTGGGAGTTGACAGGTTTGATGGTGAGGACAATGTCAACCTGTTCATTGACGTCTGCAACATGCTTTCCAGCTACATAAACTTAATGAAGAACAACAAAGACAATACCTGCCTATGTTCTTTGAAGGCAAAGCCAAACGGTTCTTCAACTCACAAGCTCTTCCAGTGAACACTACCACTGAAGACAAGCTGAAGTACCTAAGAGAAAGATTTAGACCTGCACCCTTTGATGCAGTTCTGTACCCTGTAGCCCAAATGGCGTCAGAAAAATTGCAAGACTACACAGTGGATGGTTTCCATGCCATCACGACTGCCACAGTACGTAAGAAGAAGCCACGTTTCTTCGAGGCTGCCTCATAAATATGTTCATTCATACAATATCAGATATAGCAATATTCAATTCTCCACCTTGATAACCTCTCTTCCCTTTCACTTCTTTCCTATCACCCTTCTAACACAATGATGAGAATAAGCCTCAACAACGTGCATAGTAAATATGTGTCTATAAAGTGCTAGGGATATGTAAGAGACGTCTTACACTTCTCACCCCCAGACTTATTCCCATCTAACTGTGATTTCCTTATTTCTCAGGACTCTTGTTCCTCTTTGGATGCATTCTATTTAGACTTCTCTTGCATCCCGTTTCTGGAGAGAAAGCAACAGATTATGTAATTCAGCGTATGAATTAAGGTGTAGTCTTCACCCTAAATTATATCCATTGTATTGTCACAGGCATATGTTTGGCTCTTCTTCAAGTATAGAGCACTAGCTGCCACTCTTTGTTTGGTTTCACAACCTTCTTTGGTTAAATCAGAACAACCCTCATTTGAGTATCACAACCCAACTACCCCTACCCCCACAATAAGTCTATCTATGGTAACATCAACATTCCTGGACAATCTTCCCATAATGCTTCACGTCATTATCATAATGTTGCTTATTGTAATCGTATACCAACTCAAGTCCAAGAAGGCACACTGTACCTTAATCTCACTTGAGTTTACAACAGGATTTCAATGTGAACTCCTCCCCATACTTAGTTTAAGTACATGTCCATCCAACTGGGATGCTACCTTGCTAACTACGACGTATGATATTTATGTAGATGGTTATATCTTTCCTACTGTTCATATTCAATGGCCAGGACTTACAATTAAAAATAAATATTCATGCCAACCTATCAATATCCCAAACAAATTCCGCGTGAACTGCCTTAAAGCCAGACGCATTCGTACAATTTTAAAACATCCTTATTC